ATATATATATATATATATATATGTGGTGTTAAGTTTTGTGTTATTATTTTTAAGTGATACATATGTGTATATTAAACATAATATCTAGGGTAAACTTTGATAAGATGACCATTTTTAAAATGCAAAAAAACCTACTTTAATTTTTGTTATTTTTAATAGTGTTATATCCACTATACAAAAAAGATATACCAATATAATACTATTAAAGATAACAAAAATTAAAATATGTTTTTTGCATTTAATAATAACCATCTCCAAGTTTACCCTATATCTAATTGAATGAAGTGTACTTACTGTAACTTTAATCATTAATCAGCGCATTGGCGTCTGACACTTGAGACCAAATTTTAGATCTTACTCTAATGCAATCAATGCAAAATTCGATTGTATTTGTATTACTACCGTCATATTGCACTTTGAGTTATTAATCATTTTCGATTTAGATCTACTTTGAAGTTAATTTGTAATAATAATAATAATAATAATAAATAATAACAGTAACAACAACAATAATAATAATAATAATGATGATGATGATAATAATAATTTTGCAATAATAATCTGTATTAAACGTTTTTTAATTTTATATTGCTTATATTATTTATTGTATTAAGAATATAATAGAAGAAGAAAAATGGTGGTTTCCAATATGTACGTGCGAGTTTAACTATAACTCGGGTGTCTACTGTATAAAATTCTGTAATTAGTCAAATCATTGTCTTATCAAGATACCAAAAAGTAAAAATCCATCTTATAAAATAAAAAGTTAGTTTATTTGACACCATTGTTTGTTACGGAGTCAATAACATTTAACATGTAGTTGTGTCCATCATTATGTTTGGAACGCTTACAAATGTTTATGCGGACCTATGCGCTATTCGAGCAAATTCGTTAAATATGAGCATTATGTATTTCGTGCATTATAATCTTATGTAAAGAATATTTTTTCGAGCACAATTCGATACTTTAATCACTACATATGTACAAGCTAGCTAGTTTCATTAGTTCTCTCTCTCTCTCTCTCTCTCTCTCTCTCTCTCTCTCTCTCTCTCTCTCTCTCTCTCCACACACACACACACACACACACACACACACACACACACACACACACGCACGCACGCACGCACGCACGCACGCACGCACGCACGCACGCACGCACGCACGCACGCACGCACGCACGCACACACACGCACACACACGCACGCACACGCGCGCACACACACACACACACACACGCACGCACACACGCATGCATGCACACACAAAATTAGTTAAGAATATTATTTATTTTTTAATGTTGAAATGTTATTTATTTTTCTAATAACTGTAACATTTAAATGTTTAAAGATAATGTCTAACGGGAATATACGCTAAAGAAAAATTGATTTTAAATTGATTGAATGTATATCTATTCTGTCAATTTGGTTATTATCATTTCATACATGTTTGGCAAGATGCAAGCATAATAAATATTGTTGCGAGATTAAACATCAAAAAAAAGATTCTTTTCTTGTTTTATAAAATCGAACTTGATTTTTGTCCGGGATGAAAATTTCTGTGATTATTCTATATATATGAAAAATATGAAAAATATGTTTAATGTATTT